GAAAACTGTTTATAGCTCCTGAATCATAGTTAAGACTGGTCTAGAATTGTAGATGTCGGTTCGGGCTATCGATTGCACTGTTTGGAAATCAAAATCCATCATACGGTCCAGGAACGGCAGTCTCGTAGACTTTGCATTGAAAGGTTTACCATGGTAAGCCTTACCTGAAAGCCTGGTTTTTGCATACGCTTACGCCCTGCGATGTTCTCTATTCAACGGTGAAAACCGCATGTCTGTATCACTTTTCGTTCAAACGGGATAAGCACTCTGCTCAGCCGCCTCGTTTTCAGAAAAGGATAATAGTTTCTAGGGTTTCCCCATTACTTAGATTCAGCGGAGGATAAGAGAGCTGACACTTACTGAACTCGACGTAATTGTTGAAATTTTTGCAGGGAATAAAAGAACATAAACATAGATAGTGTATCCAGTGACCAGTTTGGCTTGATATGATTTTATAAGTGCGGCACAGATTTGTAGCGTAGGTTTCTAGACCAAAGACAGACGGCCTAGTATCATTGAATTGCGACCACCCAAGCGTCAAAAAAAATCAAGTATCGTCCGATTCATCTAGATTACTAGATTTTTACTCGATTGCAACTATTGGGTAACGACAGTGGAAATCTAGTAATCGGGCGATTGCTAGATTTCTTCTAGTTACAACTATCGATTTATCGTCCGATAAGCGATCGCTTTAACAACTGCTAGTTCTACATGTAGACGCATCTAGTTAAAAGTCCCTGTTCCGACTAGTAATCTAGATGTCAACTAGTCCTGTGTCGCCCGATTACAGAATAGATGTATCTGAATTTTTCCCATAGGCGATGTTTGCTTGGGCAAATACAACGTTAAAACGACGGATAAATGAATCAAGTGTTTGTCAGGGAACGACATTTTCAGTTTCTGCTTCCGAACTTCTTTCAAGTACCTCTCATCAATACTACGTCAAATGCTGCAGAACTGTCGATCATTGGGGCTATATGTGCATCTTCTAATTTTGTTAATATTGGATTTGGATTAATACTTTTAAATACTTTACTGGGATCTAGAAATGCTGCTGATACAAATCGAATAGCTCAAGGTATTATCCAACAACAAGTTATCAGCAGCATTTCTAGAGCTTAGTAAAGTATTTAAAAGTATTGATCCAAATCTAACATTTTAACATCGATGACTTCTCTGTGATCTTTCCATCAGACATTCCAATCATTTTCGTTTAAGTGCGGTTCTTCCTTTTGAGTTTTAAGGCTATTCAAAGTGTTTTCACACAGGAAAGGAGCTAATCATGATAAAACAACTAAGCAATCCGACGAAGAACAACACTCATCGGAGGAATGACTTTGTTGTTGTTTGCTGATAAATTTTATTTGTAACAAAAGCTGACAAATAATTAGCAAAAGAAAAACGAATATATATAGATATATATATGCAGGTGTACACCGAAATAAGAAGAAAAGAGAGTGCAACTGGGAGTGAGAAAGAAGAGGAAAGACTTTGTTAGTTAAGGATGGTATAGGAGATCTAATACACTACGAACTTTCATACTGTCTCTTCTCGTCGAAAAATGAAAGGAGGAGGAGTATTAGTTAAGAAACCTTTTGCTCAATTTTTTTTGTTTTTTTCATACCCTCATAAAATGTGATTCTGAACATTTCTGTCGTCTAATTTTAGAAAATTAGAAATTTTTGATTTTCGTGCCTGTGATGCCCGTCCGAAAATGTGAAAATTTTTTCTTCAAGAAATCATGCAAAAAGTGTCTAGTCATCTGTAATCGACTATCCTGAGTACGACTGTCAGCTCAGAACTTCATGAAAGTGCTTTTCGTGGTCAAAAAAGAGTTTTTTCTCTCAACTTCCATTTTTCCTAAAAATTTTCTTAACTAAACTCCTTCCATTTTTCGAAGAGAAGCGACAATATGAAAGTTCGTGCTGTATTAGGATCGTGTATACCACAGTCCCCTAAATTCGCCAACGAAATCCTTCTCGTTTCAGAGTTATATGTTCACAAGTTTCAATAACCGTCAGAATGCAATCTTACATTTTTTCGACTGCTAGACTGACGGACAAGCGTGCAATAATTGTCAATTTCGTCCACTGTAGGCTTGATCTGGCACAAGCGACTGTTGAGAAAATATCCTTTAAATCTGTAATAACGTTAAAAGCCAGATTAACAAGATACTGTGTGCTACAAGAAGGTAAAATGAACAAGAAGGAAATTTATTGAAAAAACATTAAAATGGATTTTAGAACGACCGAACTTCGGAAAGAAAAAGAAATGAAAAGCAGCCGGGTAAACAGTTTATCGAAGGCAACTGATTATTTCAAGGTTTTGAGTTCCCGAGATCTCTCGATGACTTTGCATGGCGTTTTCTTGAACCCTTTGAGTCAAGGGTGAAGGAGGACGTCATGGATAGTTCTCACGGTTTACTTATAGTTCTTTAAGACTCGACATGCCGAAGGCATTTCTCTGATTTTTTTTTGAAGAAGCTAGGATGGCCAAGAACTACTTTATTTCTACGTTTTTCACAGTATACTGTTGCAGACTTTTGAAGGTGAGGAATGTGTCTGCTTCCATCGTGATAGATATTTGAGTCAAAAACAGCTGGTACAAACCTACGTGTTAAACCTTTCATTTTTCATTCACTAAACGCTTTTCGTTCACAAATGCCATCCACTGACTTTGCCTGAAATATCATAAATTACAATAGTATCACCCAAGCATCAGATGCTCCGAGCCAAGTAAATCGTGGATAAATCTTTGTTGTTCTTTTATTACTGTTTCTTACAATAACAAATATCGCTTAATTTTCTTTTTGTAAACTTAATACAATGCGATGTGTTGCCATATTCATTAATTCTACTCATATGCTTTTTTTCAATATCAAACTTTTTATGTTTACTATTATAGCCAAGTGTTACTTCAAATTTTCCATTTCCTGGTCTTGTTTCTAGTTGAATTTGATAATATTTTAGTTCTTGTTCTTTTAACAATGCGTTAATGGCGTCTTCCGGTTCATTAAACAGTCGTACACGATTATCCTTATCTTTCGAAACACTGAATTTTAACATCATTTTATCTGGAATCAATTCATAAACATCATGAATTTTGAATAATTCTAATCGAGCACACTCTTCTTCAACAACTGATAATAAGTCATTTAAATAATTGATCACTACTTGACCGATTTCATTGATCAAGGGTAACTCTTGAAAATCTTTTATTTGTTTCCATTGTAAACAAGCACACCAATGAGATTCAATACCAGCATCTCTGCATGTTCGATTTGTTGGTATCAATTGAAATAAACTATACGAGCGATTTGTTTTTGATTTATAGTTTTCATTAAAATCAAGCATATGGAAAAATGTTTCATGAATATCAAATGGTGTTGTTAGACGATGAGAATTTAATCTTAAATTGTGAACATAAGTCGATTGTTGAAATTTAGATGGCATTCGTATAGACATGAATGGTAAACGTTCTTCTAATTTTCCCTGATAAGTACTTCTTAATTCTGAATATCTTTGTCCATGATCAGACATTATAATTAGCATTGTATTGTCTAAATGTCCTGTTTTATTCATTTCATACAAAAATTCATATAATTCTTGATCAGCATATGATACAAGATTATTTGTATCACGATGTGAATATTGTGCATGAAACCCTAATGTCCACTTCAATCTATTCGGATATGTATTATAAAAGTCTTGAATCCAATTTAACATTGTTTTAAGACGTGTCATATTCCCGAAACACAGTTCATTCTCAGTTGTTGTTGTACGAAAATGTTGTGATTCAGCATATAAATAAAAGGGACGCATATAATAATCAACCGGTTTATGACGAAAACCTAATAGGCGGAATTGAAATGTTCCAATATGTTGTTCATCTTCAGCCCATTGAGTTAAATAACCAGCATCTTAATTAAACAAATAAAATCTTTTCACATCAGCTTAAAAATATTTAGGTCAAACTTTTACCGGTTAACTTTTTCCATATCCATGGATAATTATCAACTGGCTTTGCACCTTTTTCACCATGTCGTGATTCGGGTAATTCAAGTTCTGTTTTCCCGGTAAGCATGGCCGTGAACTGAGCAGTTGTACCATCACCAACTATATTGTGACCTTCAAAAATCAAGTTGTGTGCA